ATCGATCAAACCAGATGAAACTCATCAGTTAGCTAAACTTCAAATGTGCCTTCAGGATGTTAAAACCTGGATGACCTGTAATTTTCTAATGTTAAACTCAGATAAAACTAAAGTTATTGTTGAGGCCTAAGCACCTCCGTGACGCATTATCTAAAGTTATAGTTTCCCTTGATGGCATCGCCCTGGCCTCCAGCACCACTGTGAGGAATCTTGGAGTTATCTTTGATCAGGACATGTCGTTTAAGTCTCACATTAAGCAAATTTCAAGGACCGCCTTTTTTCACCTATGTAATATTGCGAAAATCAGGAACATCCTGTCTAAAAATGATGCAGAAAAACTAGTCCTGCATTTGTTACTTCTAGGCTGGATTACTGCAATTCCTTATTATCAGGCTGCTCGAAAAAGTCCATTAAGACTCTTCAGCTGATCCAGAATGCTGCAGCACGTGTTCTGACAGGAACCAGGAAAAGAGATCATATTTCTCCTGTCTTAGCTTCTTTGCATTGGCTTCCAGTAAAATCCAGAATAGAATTTAAAATCATTCTTCTTACCTACAAAGCTCTTAATGGTCAGGCACCATCTTATCTTAAAGAGCTCATAGTACCTTACTACCCCACCAGAGCACTGCGCTCCCAGAATGCAGGGTTACTTGTGGTTCCTAGAGTCTCCAAAAGTAGTCTAGGAGCCAGAGCGTTCAGCTATCAAGCTCCTCTCCTGTGGAACCACGTTCCAGTTTGGGTTCAGGAGGCAGACACCATCTTCACATTTAAGAGTAGGCTTAAGACTTTCCTCTTTGATAAAGCTTATAGTTAGGGCTGGCTGAGGTGAGTCCTGAACCATCCCTTAGTTATGCTGCTATAGGCCTAGACTGCCGGGGGATTTCCTATTATGCACTGAGCTCCTCTCTCCTCTACTTTCTCTCCCATTGTATGCAACCTCATCCCATTAATGCATGTTACTAACACAACTTCTCCCCTTTCTGGTAGTCTTGTGCTTTCTCGTCCCTTTCCTCTCTCCTCCTATCACTTCCTGCAGGTTTTCTGGCTCTGGAGCTGTGGAGTCTGGATCTGTGGTTGCGGGTCACCTGCTGCCCCCGTGTTCCTGCTCGACACCCTCTGCTGCAACGACTATTGTTACTAGTCCTATTGTTATTATTGTTATTATAATCATTAACATTATGACTGTTACCATTAACACTACTATAAATATCTGTACCATTTTTCATTTAGTCTATAGCAACATCACCTTTACTGTCTGTACCTCTGTGTGTATATTGTGTAGGCTGCCTCCCTCCCCTCTCTCTCTCCTTCCATCCCTCTCTTTTTCTCCCTGTTCCTCTCCTGCCCTCTCTCTCTCTCTCTCCCGCTCTCTCTCTCCCTCTCTCTCCTTCACTCCCAACCGGTCGAGGCAGATGGCCGCCCACCTTGAGCCATGGTTCTGCTCGAGGTTTCTGCCTCTTAAAAGGAAGTTTTTCCTTGCCTCTGTCGCCTAGTGCTTGCTCTTGGTGGGAACTGTTGGACTTCTGTAAATAGCATCATAGAGTACGGTCTAGACCTGCTCTTTTATGAAAAGTGCTGTGAGATAACTGTTGTTGTGATTTGGCGCTATATAAATAAAATTGAATTGAATAATCACAGGAACTGTGTGTGTGTACTGTTTAACTCCAGGTCACTGTAACGGAGGACTTACTCCTTTGATATGAGATTGACTGATTGATTTAAGATAATTGAGCGGTTATTAACTGTTAATCACTAGTAAATAATTGTATAATTATTAAAACCCATACCTAGGGAGTCCTGGCGAACGGAATTCAGGTGGTGCCCCGCGAAACGAGAGTTTATGAATAATATTTTTGAATATTAATATTCAAAATTTGTCTTATTACAAAAGTAATACATAATATCATTCAGTGTGATGAACATAATGAACGTTATGCAGCCCTCTACATGTATCAGCTCCCATCATTGCTCACCTGACAAGCCACACGCATTCAGCCATGAGTAAGTGCCTATACGTGTTTGTGCTCACTGTTGTTTCTAGTTTCTTTGATTCTTTGTGTGTGTGGAGACAACAGTAAAAGCCCTCTTCCACAGGTGCACACATGGGGGCACTCTGTGATGTGTACACTTGTGGATGTATGCAAATATGCACGTCACTTTTCACACTTTTATTGTGCACTCTACATGCATGTATTTATGAAGCCAATAAACATATATATATATATATATAAGCCCTGAATGTATGCATGTGGAGCTGCTCTGTATTTGGACCAGCAGTCTGTCTAATGCCAGTTTGTGTGTGTGTGTGTGTGTGTGTGTGTGTGTGTGTGTGGTGAGAACAGCTGCGATATAGAGCCTGTCGTGGGCGTGAGGTAATTAGTGCAGAAGATGATTGTATTATTTGGACGGCCGACCAGCGCCGGGGTTCAAAGTGAAGGGAGGCAGGTGAGCTTGTACGGCCTGCAGCTGCATGTTAAACAACTCAAATGGAATCACAGAAGTCCCGCAAGGGGGGAGGGGAGAGAGTGAGAGAGAGAGAGAGAGAGGGAGGAAGAGAAAGTGAGAAATAGACAGAAAGAATATGAGAGAAGCAAGCCACGATGGAACAATTGGGAGAAGCCGGTGAGACAAAATTAACAGCAATAAGGCATAATTAAAGTCTAACTCGCGCACTCTTTTTTTGTCAACAAATTCACAATAGTTAAATGAGCTTCAGGATGCTTTTTTGCAGTACAATTGATACATTGCTTTAAAGGGAGAAAAGTGCCACAACATTGCGAATATGGTCACACCTTAAGCTCACTATTGCGTCTATATTACTCTAATAGAGTCATCTAATATCTATACCTTACATCCTAACTAACTAACTAACTAAACTAACTAAATCACAGACATCCTAAAGGTGCGTTCAGATGCACCGGAAAGAGAAATTGTATGTCTTTGTGTGCAAAATTGACTATACTTTAGCACTTTTGCAGTCTGTATTTTTTTCACACCACACCTTTGGCATATATGTGCAATTATATACAGTATATATAGCACATAGGTGGTCATTAATGGTCATCACCGTGATTGAGAGCCATTGCTGTTATATAACTGCGATGAATGTCCTTCAAGCCCCAAAGATTCACACCCTGTGGGTGCATTGTGCAAATTTCTCAGTGCTCAAGTATTTCAACTTGAGCAAATGTGTCCTCACTCATCTTAATTTGGGCCACTTCTCTCAATCTGTGTCTCTGTGTCTCTCTTTGGGTTGATCCATTGCCTTTCTATGCATTTGTGCAACCTCTAAAATTCTCTTTGCGCTGTATCTGAGCACACCTTAGTACAGATCAAGTCTTGTGTACCTGCTTTGACTGTATGGTTGGTGTTGGGAAGCAGCATGGACATCCACATGATGTGTATACAGTAATGTTGCATTAGAACATAAGTTAGATACATCTCAGAAGTACAACATACATACATATACACCTTGTTGGTGCACTGTAGCTCTGGCTGTTTACCGTCTCTCACTGTTTAACATCTACATTCATCACAAATGTTACAACAATATTTTCAACACAGCTAATGAAGTAAAATTTTGATTAATAGCCCGGGCTTTTTTTTTGCTAAAATGACTGAATTGACCCTGCCTATATTTGGGACAGGCCTTTTTATGTACATCTGCAGCCTGTTTTCCTGGTCTACTGTGAAGATCCTGTTATTTGGCTGTGAGCATCCTGGTGGTCCAGCCTGCAGCCTAGTGGACTCTGCCCCCCTCCCGCCGTATCTAAATAAGGTAGAATGGCTGCGTGTCGGGAAGAATGAAACACCTGTTTCAATCATCCCGACAGTGACTCTTGACGTTTAAACTTCACTAGCTTCTAAACTGTAAAACTTTGACATTTAAAACTTCAGGTTTGTTAAAGTACTAACTAATCTTTTATGTGATCATGACCATGGCACATGGAACAATAAATACAACTCGTCATTCAAAAAAAAGATCGCTTGAGTGAATTTACTTTCCGTGACTGAAAACAGCTTCTTTCATATAACTCCGTGAAAGTGTGACGTATCCACCTGATTTTTTCCTGTTCTGTTAAGTACTGTGAACTGTATGTGCTGAGGTAGTTTGGCATATCAGACTTGTATGAGCTCCGAGAAAATCGCTGTGTTTCATTCGTTCCACGTTTCAATCGTCCTGGCTCTCCCCTACTTGTACAAAAATTATCAAATAATATCAAATACGCCGTCACTCATTTCATCTAGCTCCGACTGACAGTTTATGCACTTTTGTAGGCAGCAACGTAACGAAAACAACAACAGGAGGTTGTGCAGGATGAGAAAAGTGCGGAAGAAGTTAGCAGACAAAGAGCAATGGACTTCACATGACAGTATTCATAACTTGGATTAATTTTTATGAAAAGCTGTTTTGATTGGTAAACCCTTACAGACTAAAGGAATTTAATAATCAAGGAAGGGATACATTCGAACTTAACAAGCGCTTCAAAGGTAACGGGAGTCTGAACTTTTTGTTCCTCATCTCTTTCCTACCATGCCGGTTACATTGGTAAATTTATAAGAATTAGACTTTGGGGCTTATTGTTTCAATTAAATGATGAAGGATAATTTTTAAAAATGAATTGTGGCGAATCTAACCGATCTAACCATGTGTAGCATGATCCATACTGACATACTGAACAGCTAAAGCAGGCGACCAGGCAGGGTTTAAGAGGCTTTATACTTCCAAAGAACTTATATAAAAAACACACCAGGTGTTTAATGGAGACCTGCATTTATTTGTCAAAATGCGTTCCCACACCAGGCCGGTAAATGAGGTAGGCGGTTATTTGGGACTCGGCCATTAAGTGAAGTTTTACGGTATTAATCAAATTGGGTTGCAGAACTCTGTGTGCTGGGTCCCAATATCAAAAATATATTTTCAATGCTCCTTAAATTCAACACTGACTGCCTTCTTGCTCAACAAGCTAAAGGTGTGTGACTGAGTGGGTGCACTGTACCTGTTCTGGCTGGTTGGCATTGGACAGTGGTATCACCATCCAGATGATGTTGAGGTTGTTGAGGGCAGCGCTGGTGGTGAAGGAGCAGGGCAGGATGGCTGCTTGGCCACGGGCCACCTGGATACTGCTCTGGGACACTGTCACATCCAGCGCCCGCACAGACACTGTAGGAAGAAGGATGCAGTGATCACTGTCTAGATACACAGTAGATAAGCACACAGTACAGTACCAAGGTGCTAACAAGTAAAGCAAAGCAAAATCTAATCGCTTAGTGCGTCCTTGGCTGCGTTTTCATCTTTACAGCAAAACAAACATGATTTCTGAACCGAGCTTTTGTGTAGAAATGCTCTCAGCAGCTAAACAAACATCTAGACCACATAGTCAAGGATCACATGAAATATGTAATAGTTAAATGGGGAAACATGATAGGCTGTCTCTTGAGTTATTCATTTCCTAAAACAACTTGCTTCTTGCTGCTTTTATGGGAACACGGCCTGTATCAATACATACTAGATGAACATGACATGATACGTTTTGCTGCTTGGTTCTTTGGTATGCATGCACATGCAGCATGCCAAAGAACCATGTTAGCTTGTTGTTTTGTGCAACAAAGGTCTATCGTCTCAAAGTAAGGAAGTGAGGGGCTGCTTTCTGCGTCTGGGCTCAGCTGTCAGCCATAACAGACCCACAGAGACAAATATGTACGTGCAGCATCCTATTTCTGGACAAGCTAAAGACATTACCACCCAAATCAAGTTAGAGCTCCCCCACAAGCATGTATACATGTCCAAAAACCCCAATGGTAAGTAATCTTATATAGACAGGGTGAGGAGGATGATGGCACTGATATGATTACAGATAATTGATCACGTCCTGTGAATCATCCTTGTTAGTGATAATGTAAGATGATGATCTTGCCATAAGCCAACAGTAGAAACCACCGCCGTGTAATTTGTGTGGTATGTACGAGTCAAGCCAGATGTCAGGTGCAAGCAATGACCACCCTGCACAACAAAATATGAATCTCACAACCAATCATAGGTCACAAATAATATGGCATTTTAAAATCTGAAAAATTAAGGTTTTAATTTGTGTTTTGAACATCGCTGTCATATTGTAGCTGACAGACTGCCTGTTGCTCCCTCTCTGTCTGTCTGAAACCTGCTGACTTCCCACGCTTTCCTTCTGCTGGCAGACACCACACGTCCTGCAGGCTCACTGCTGGCACAGGAGCGATAGGCAGCGCTTGAAATGCTCCGCTCTGTTATGGTTTATGAGAGATATATTCATGAAAAGACTTCCCATAAATTATGCAAGCAATTTAACTCAAAGGCATTATACTCAAATGGAATGTCAATATGTATCATTTACAGCAGTATGATCCCTCAATGTGACGCAATTGCTCAAAAGAAATGCATGGCAATCTGCTCAGCGCGTACGTCACAATGCCGCTAATGAGCTCCTGTTATTTCCTTATGACATCTTAAATCCCAGGCCATCAAACTATTCTGTCACTATAATCTGATCTTCTTTTATCCTTTGTGTACACAATGTTTACTTCATGTGCAGAATCAATCTATGTTCTTATTGAAGGATTAACGGCAAAGAGGAGGAAGTTCATTCAAAAGGTTGAGACCTTAACGGAATGTGCGATTGTATTGGCAGCCTGTTATAAGTGTGTTTATTCTCATGGCCACATCGATTTTAAATGTGGACAGAGCAACACAGAAAGAAAGAAAGATGGAGAGAAATAAACAAGAGGTCCTAGAGGAATGAAGATAGAAGGAGCATCTTATCGTCCTTAAGCCTCCTCCAAGGCAGCAGTCTCTCAAGCCCACAACAGCTGGAGGGCTCATTTCAAAACACTGGATTAGGGAACCTCTGCGCACAGAGCCTGTAAGCTCCCACGACCAAAGAAACACACACACACACACACACACACACACTGGTTACACATACTCAGAATTACAAACACATGCTAACAGACACATGCACCCACACTGTACATACAACGTGCACGCATGCATTCACATGACCCCCAACACAGACACACACGACATACCACCCACTACCTTGCACACGCATTCAAATTCATCAGCACGTTATCAGTGAAATGTACGGTAGCCCTTTAGGGACACATCTAAGGGACAGAGACGGGACGGGCTCGACAGCTCTCCAACTACACTGCGGCATTGCTAGGTATTGCCTCATCATTGCACACACTTCAGCTCTACTCTTGGAGCATGTCCGCTAGACAACCGCTCTTCCAGAATGAATCCTGTAAAGGGTGAGTGACTTATTGTCAAATATGGCTAACCAGATAAAAACTGGATTAAATACAGTATGATGTGTGCATTGTGTAATTGTGATCCTCCAAAGAATCTTGCTTTGCGGTTTAAATTAAATTATTGTAGTCACAAGGAAACCTCACTGATTTTAGGAAAATACTCCCTACAACAGAGCAGGTTTTGATATAGTAGCTGTTTGTTTCCCCTTGTTTTCTTCTTTTCTTGCATGTGTCTTTGGTATTTTTGCCCAGGGCTGAATGCAGCACAGAGTTCTGCAGTCTTCATTATGTCTCCAGGCTGATGTGCATACAGCTACGTGTGATGTAGATGAGCTGGGTTTACCATCCAAGCTGCTCCTTTTTTCCGTCAACAAACATCTTGTCCCCTCTTGCTCTTTTTTTTTTCCAGCCCTGAGCTGCCCCGAGGCACAGCTCAGCAGGGCCAAGACCTGCCTGACTGACAAGAAAGAGCAAAAACCACCATGCTAGCTCTTCCCAATGCTGACCATCCACTGCCCGCAGTTATATATACCTGTAATAGACGAGGGCTGCATGGATGCCTTTACTCTGCCTCAATCAAAGGCTGACTGCCCTTGGTTGTTACTTCTATCAGTTCTACCCTGTTTTGACACTTAGGATCATTTGGTCATATCATTTTGATTAATTTTAGTCAACTGCCCACTGACTAGAATGACATATGATTCAAATCAACAAAATATGTTGACTACAGCAGCTCTTTAAATATAGATTAGCAAAATCACCACTTCACTGATGACTCAGTTTGCATAATTTAGACATTTGGCAAGTTATCAGTTCATCTATGAGCTGCAAGCATTCACACACAACAGCTTCGTGGTGTTTTGGGGAACACTGTAAAGATGATTGGATAATAAACCACAAAAAAAGCCAAGAAAGGCATGCATTTGCCAATCTGCACAGGTAAATGGAAGCTTTTCCCTCTTAGAAAGCAGCAACTTATCTCGTGCATGTTGTTGTTAAAAATGAAAATGACAAAATATAGAGAATTTGTGTGAGAAATTAATCATATTTGGAATTACTTTCAGACAAAATAATAAGCACTGTCTGAAATAGATGGACCATGTAAATCCTAATAAAGTCAATGATTTTACAAAAAGGGACATTATATTAAGCTTATGATGCAATTTTCATTATAGTAAAAGGACTAAAGGACAATGAATCACACAGATACAGATGTTCTTGTTTCTCTTAACATTTTGTATAGAGCAAAAAGGACATAGTACTAAAAAGAGACCGAGGGAGGAAGCAACAAAGGACAAAGTGGACAGAGGGAAGAGAAAAGTGGCGTGACGGAGTTTGAGCTGTAATGGACAAGGAAGAGAAAAGCCCAACAGAATATTGCACTGTGAGATGGGAGGGACAGAAGTCAAACAGGGAGGCAAAGAAAGGAAGAATAAATCAGAATAAAGAGAGAAAAGGGGAGGCGTGAAACGCAGGAGGATAGAAGGGAGAAGGGAGGATGCCGCTGTTTCCATAGAGGCCTAATTGATAAAGTCACCCCAGGCAGCGCTAGCAGTGCTTGTGGAGTGAAGGAGAGAACCAACAGCATGGCTCCATTAAAACAGCTCTCTCTCCTCTGTCGGGAGCCAAGTGTCAAAACTGATGTTGATTAATGCATGAGAAAACCATATACCTCAGAGAGCATGGAAGTGTGTGTGTGTGTGTGTGTGTGTGTGTGTGTGTGTGTGTGTGTGTGCTTACTCAGTCAAGCTAAGGTGCAGCCATGATGGGATGGAGAACAAATGCAGGGTGAATACAACACTCCCACTCTCTCACTCATTCAAACACTCTCTCGCTCTCACTCTCTCACACAGACAATCCCTGGTCGGGGAGTTATTTGCATCCTGTGTTTTTATTCATGTGGCTCTTTTATTCATAGGTTTTACTTTTATTTCAGTTTCAAACAGATGTCCCTGATGCTGTGATGTGATGAGCCTCTGGCACAGTTTCACTGGGTGGGCTGGGACACACATAGAGACACAGGGATTTTTTTTAATAACTTTATTTTGTGACAGGACAGTTGAGAGAAAGACACAGGAAATGTGGGAGAGATGGGGGTTGACGCGCAGCAGAGGGCCACGGGCCCTCTTTTTCTGACACAAAACCTAGTTTCTTCCTCTTTGCAGGCAATGTTGAATGTCTGAATTCTTCAACTTTGACCTTAAATTTACACCAGACCTCTGTGTTTTGAGGTTTAATCCTCATTTTCTGTGACATACTGTGCCAATAATATGCTCATTTCCTAACAGGAAAGCAACATTTAAAACAGACGGAGTCATTCGTGATAGCCACCTTTTGTCTGCTGCGTTTTCTTCAAGCGTGAGACCTCTTAAGAAGTGACAGGAGAAGATTAAGAGGGAGCGATGATCAAGATCGAGCGTAAAATCATGTATCTCCTGCTTCAGGCATGACAGTTGGCAGCTCTGATCACATTTCATGTTTAATCTACATCCTTTAGAATTTCTCTTCGGACTCAAACACCAATTTGGATTGCTGTAGTGCTTTCACCACACTAGAAGTGAATCTACTGCAAAATAATTGCATGAAAAAAAAACACATGCATAAAATTAAGCATCTGCAAATCCACACATGGATTCATGTGCCCTGACACCTGTGCCCACACACAAACAGAGCTGTCCCATTCTCTTCCAGTAGACCTAGGGGCTTCATAATGAGCTGTGTTTGTGTATGGGGGACCCGGTGATGCTGTTGCTGCCCGTGAGGCACCAGGGCGAACCAACAGAGCAAAGACGTCCATGTGAAACTCAGGTGGTGTAGTTTGCGTACCCAGCTGCTCAATGGCAAATCATCAAGCACCATGCTCAAAGCACTGCTGAG